ACATTTCGGATAATGCTAGATTTGACTTCAGGAAGAAACACAAGGTGAACAGAAGATGTCGCAGCATAAATTGGTAGCAACTTTACTACAGAAATTTCAGCCTAGATAGTCTAAGCTGCATTACAGTTTCACTCAGACACAAACTAAGTTAAATATGAATATCATTATTAATGGATTGGTTCAACTGAATTACTAAGGCTATTTTAATTCATGATGATGGTGATGTATTTTCTTCATTTGGTCCCATATTATGAAGTCGCTGTTTTCCTCTATGCCCCACAGCCGCCGAGGTCTTTGTGGCATTCCCGCTTCCCAACCTGCGAATCTTTCGTCTTTTGCTCTTTAACCTTTCTGTAATAGTCCATTCTAACGTAGATCGGTGTCGCACCATTTTTTCAAGATACTGAGGTCTTTCTTATTCTATAGTGTTGTCGATTTCTCCTATACAACAGAGATCTCAAGAAGATACGGTGTAGATTCAGTGTTACTGTTTGGATTTCAGACAGATGCTTTTGACATGTATCAGCGAGCTTCGTAATATTTTCTGGGATTTCAATAATAGCTGCATTCCACGCTTTCGGGCGATCCTCTACAGTTTTTCCCTAAACGTTTGTACATATGCAACAATAGTGGTGCTCAAATTCAGTGGTTCACTTCTAATTCTTTCGTTGCTAATCCTCCACTGCTGCTCTCTGTTATTACTCGCTTAGGGTAGCTACTGTATCTGAGAGCTCTGCAGGTGTAAGCCAGTTTTTTATGTATAAATGCCGTCTCAGCTCAGTTCAAAACATCTGCTAGTTACAGTGCTACTGTGTAATGCTGGTGATGATCCTCTTTACACAATATGAGTAGTTCGAATCGAACGGTAAGAATTTATTGGTATGTGCTGACCTGTGAATGACCTAAGTAACATACTGTAACATTTACTCGTGAATAGTGCGTCAAGTATAGCTGTGCATTTGCTTTGCTTCACTTAAATCATGAATGCGACTGCTTTTGCATACAAAGTATTGATGTGCCCCATGAAGAGCGCATCCCTATCTTCTCCACTGAAGGCGATTATTTAAGAATATCGGCAGAACTTAGCAGAACACGCGCATCGCGGCTTTGTAGACGATATCGCATTTTGTCTGTTACCCATTCTGTGAGCAACGCTAACGCCGATTTGTGCCCAGCACTAGTGGCTTCAATTACTCGATCACTCTTTCTACCTGTATTTCCGTGAATATCCATGGTTTGATGAGGGCGCCGCGAGCGATGCCCACTCCACCGACGCCGATGTACTCCATCTTTTCGAGGTAGTCCGAAAACGACAGCGTGTCACCGAAGCCGTAAAACGGACAAGGCTCGGCTATGCGCGCACACTGGCCGATGTACTGCCAGTCGGCGAGCTTCGTGAACCTCTGATCGCGCGACCGTCCATGCACGCTGATTACGTTGACCCCCCAGTCCCTAAGTTGCGGAATTAGCAGATGCGCCGTGTTGACGCTCTTCTGAATGCCTGCAACACTGACGTAATGCTAAAAAAGCGATCGAAGAGATCGCTTCGTCCAAAAATCACCACAATGCGTACCAGTTCGTAGCTTCGCCGTCAAAGGCACATAATGATCGTCCTTGTTCAGTACGGTCGCCACACGCTCGACGATCTGGCGCAGCCTGGACGTTCGACCCATTAGTGCACAGCCCATACCACGCTGACATACCAGGTCGATCGGACAGCCGATGTTCAGATCCACGAAGTCCACTTGCGCTTGATCCATCAGCAACTGCGCTGTTTTCGCCATCACGTCGGCATTTGCGCCGCACAACTGCACTCCGAAGTATTTCTCGCTTTCATGTCGCCGTATCAACGCCCATTCGGACTGATGACCTGAAGCAAATGCATATAGTACAATTAAATACATGCAAATGATTTCTGAAACTCATCTTCTTCTTCCATAAACTGGCACTTTAGTGGTTCCAAACAATAAAACTGAGAGACTGTAGTATTTACATAAACTTTCGATGCCTCGGTCCAACAATATTGGCAATATCAGGGGAAACAATGATTGCTGCTTGTTTGTTTGCCCTGAGAATGGCCAATTTTGTTATTGTTTGGTCATCGTCGTCTGAGTTTAACAGAGCTTGAACAGCGGAGTTACTCAGATTTATATCTAATCCTTAGAAATAATCATACAAATAGATACTG